TYKGGKYCSKYCCTKRWTTWARRAARSMWTWAAAWTWWKRAATATATTTAGTGATTTTTAAACCGTTCGATTCTAAATTRTTAATTTAAGATAATTAATATTATTATTTAATGAGATATTTTTTATTTATTAAATAAATWTTATTGCATCTTTAAAGAAAATTTATATTTGTCTCTTTTGTTCTCTAATATTTCTGTATTAGCATACACATTATGCACACAAGGTGAACATGTTGTGAACACAATATTAACAACCTTAATAATTTTTTTTACAAAGATGGTCAGATTGTGTTCACAAGTGATATGTTTATATTTAGTTTTATTGATTTAGTYTGTGTTTACGATATCTTGATAAGCTAYCATATCTCGTAGATTTAGAGTGTRTTCAMAAACTATGRCARTATATCTAAGAAAATTGTTCACAATGTGTTCTGTCTACGTTTATATTCAGTTATGTGTGTGTACGAATGTACGTGTATGTTATAAAAGCGAGGAGGGGTGAAAAAAATAGATGGAGAAAAAATAGAAGAGAGAAAGGGTGAATTTTTTTAATTTATATTAGATTTTATTTTCAACTAATATTTTGTGGTTTAAATTCGAAAGTCGCATGAATTATGTGATTTTACACATGATTTTAATGTAAAATCATATGTGATTCAACCGTTTTTTTATTCTCTTATTTATATAACTCTCTCTCTATATAATTTTGTTAGTGTTGGTATATATAAATATATGTTATACATTTTAGTATAAAACGGGTTGGGTTCACGTGAGACCAATGGTTTTTCATGAGACCCGTAAGACCAATTTATCTTCATTGATCAACTTTATAAGCTAATAATCTAATGGTTTAAAGTTGCACGGTGTCAATTTTGTGATTATTGAGAAGTCTCGTGGCAATTTTGTGATTATGAATGTTCAGATTGTAGATCTAATCCAAGGGTTGAGAATTGATCTTACAGGTCTCACGAAAAACCCTTAGTCTCACATGATCTCAAATCTATATAAAACAAGTTAACTGGACGGACATATTAAAGTTAAACTATAAGCAAAATTCAAATCTATTGTACCATTATAAACTTAAACATGGAACCCTAACATTATTTTTAATACATTTTTTCAATTGTCCCAGTAAAAGGGTGGAGTTTTCACAATAACGTCTCAGGTTTAAATTCGGTCTATCYACCATGTTCTRGGACACTGTGATTTACCTCCAGAAAATGGCAGTGAAATTAGTACAGTGGAGGCACCCAATGCCATAATGCCTTTCAAGATTGCTAGGAGCTWACTTTAACTACTTATTTGGCTTAAACAAAAATCCCAATGAACTTCTATGAAATGATTTCACGGGATTTAACCAATTGTATTGATAGTGGAATATGGTTGAGAAATAAGAATAGTCTGATTACAGAGGAGTTAAACCAAAAATGAAGCAATAGCTTCCCTCTTGTTTTAAAAGGTAGCACAAACCCTTTTCCCACAACTAAAAAACGAATATAAACAAGCATAAATGGACAAACTTGCATTACCAAAAGTTCACGGATGTAAATGAACAAATGAGACAATTGTTYGTTTTATGGGATTTCTAAATCCCATATTTGTGGGATTTCAATGAAACCATAAGATTTCAAATCCAAGCAATCCTTCAAACCAAACATGAGATTGGAATTGAATTTCAAATCCCTTCTAATCTTCTCCAATCCTACAAACCAAACGGGACCTTATTTTCTGCCAAACCATTCACAGACGATTCCTGATTGTTATCTTCGGGTTCCACGGCATTGGTTGAGGTACACGTAAGCTAACCCCACAGATACCCAAAAAAAACCCTCCAAAAAAGATGCCATTTGTGCATATTGTCCCAGGAAGGCCAAAAGCATGGGGGAATCACACAAGAAGAATGGGAGGGAATGCCAAATGACCATAAGTCCATAACAGCTCCAATGGAAAGACCAAAGGTGAAGTTACACACATGTCATATGCCTCTATTTACAAAATCTATTACTGCAAATCATGAGACGACGATGATCTAACATGGGTTCTCCACTCTTTTGGTACATTCCGACAAAGACATGGATTGGTGATGCATTTTGATTTGGACTTCTAATGAGTAGTTGTTTCTACACAAGTGTTCAACAATGCATGCTTGTTAAAAATCGAAAACCTTTTGTTGTCTACAAAACTAAACAAATGAAAAAGAAGCAAAAGATCAAATAAGGAAAAACGGGTTCCTAAATACACGATGCATCTTCTTATTATATTCCTAAATATGGCATTACCTCAGCTTGAAAAGGTATGTCCATCCYGTAACGGTTGAACTGGAACGGCATAAGGAGAATCCCAGTCTGCATCAAATATCTTCTGAAGTTGCAACACGATTGCCGGATTGTACGTCCCAAAACTGATGCCGATTGTTGTATAGAAGTAATCCCATATCAAATTACTGGTCCCAATATGCGCTCGCTTGTCACTAACTGCGTATTTTCCATGGTTGACTCGAGTGTAACCTGGATACTTATTTCCTGTACTTTTTCCRTCACTAATCGCAGGCCCAGTTAAATTAAAACCGGGAACCATATAGTACTTGATCTCAATTTTCCCAGAACAGGTGTTGTATGGTGAAGAAGTGCATAGATTATTGGAATAGAGAAGAGACTTCAAATATTGATCTGTGTTGGTGATGAAATGTGCCCAGTAAGCTACAAGTATCTTYACTGTTGCATTCTTGGAGAAAATGACCTACATTTGGATATATAAATWAAAATAATCAAAACAAAACATTGAAAAAACTCATATTTGTTTATTGGTTTCTATCGTAGTAGTTTATATGGTACTATTAAGTAAAATTATTTTCTGCAGACCTCCCATTAATTTTATTTATTTGGCAATAGGGGCAGGTTCCATTGGAAACCTAAAATTGATTAA